GTCTTAAGAACCGGTGATTTTCAATTGAAATCACCGTATCATTAAGAGTATTTTTGAAGTTGTTACTTCCTGTGGTTTGAAGAGAGACATCTATTGAGAAAAAACTAGCAATTGATTCATATTAACATACTTCGTCCAATACAATTTGCCATTCCCATTTTATCATGTAGATTTAAATAATTAAAATTAAATCTTGGGGAGGTAAATTCTAAAACAAAACAGCCACTAATTAAAGCTTCTTTGAGGAATGTGTTGAGTGGGAAATTTGAATTTGAAAGTTTATACCACATGATGACAATCAAAAGTTGGGATTTAAATATTTTCACATAGTCTGGTATAGAAATGATAATGTTTATACTCTCATAAAGACAGCAATATTTCTCTGAAATGTTTGACTAGAAAACATATTCTAAGATCTTCTAAAGCTGACTCTGTTTAGCCAGGATTTGCCAAGGGGGGGGGGGGGGTCACTTTTTGAAAAATGGCCCGGGGGTTTGAAGTTTGAACCCATCGAAATTGAGAACTATCATTTCATCTTTCATCACGGGGGGGGAGGGGTTATTGCCGCAAATTCTGAATTTTTTTATCCGGGTTCTAAAAATTTCCTGGTGAGAACCCTGTAACCCTTATGTATCTAATAGTTATGCAAATCAAAATATGTCCAGTAAATGAAAATGTTATCTGACCAATACAAAAAAAAAAATTTCACTTTTTGTGATTTTGTAACATGAGCTCTATGGAGAATCAACCCGAACTAGAAGTCACACTTTCAAAAATAATTAAATTTTCAAACTTGATAAACAATTTTCGAAACCATATTTCGTGATGTCCTTTTACATGTAGATTTCAAATATAACATCCCTTTGACTGAATTTTGAATATTTAATGGCGTAAATCAAGATTTTTTCTACTCGCATCTAGATATCTAGTCTATTTATAATACACAAGTGATAACCATCATTCTTCTGTGATTCTTTCTTTTCTTTAATACATTTAATGATTTAAATATAAATATACAGTACATTAACTGCCAAAGTTCAAATCCTTGGTGGCTATGTAATCTTACAGCATATGTGTGTATATATTGCACAACTGTGTGTTGCAGTCTTTTGAAAACATGAAAATGACATGCCATCTTGTTCAAAATGTGTTTATATTCTGCCAAAATGGTAGAATATTAACAGTTATATACCAAATTTTTCTTTTCACCCCATTACAAAATAACATGACTTCATCTTAAAGAATAAGGGAATGGCTTGTGGTCACTTTACAGATCCTAAAATGAACACTCGATGCTCCACACCTCATGCAAATTTTGGAAAGCAACACATCTAAGGAATGGTCATTTCACATTGCATTATTGGAGTCCAGGGCTTAAATTCTGAAACATTTCATCATAATACCTGAGTGACATCTCAATTCTTTGTTGCGAGAAATAAAGAAAATATGATAAGCATAAGAATGGCTGTATTATTTAAGAAATATAGACCAAGAGCAGAGGTTATCCTTTGTCCCTAGTCCTAAGGGGTGTATTCGACGAAATTACACCTGCTCTGAGGTCTATATTATGTTTTCGAACATGAAAACTCACCAAAATGTTGAATATTCATTATGGTGTGCCATTACTTGTACGACCCACCGTTATGACGTCACACATTACTCATATTACCAGGGACATTGTTCTGGGTGAAATGTTGACTTTGTTTACGGATTATAGAAGGCGTGAATACAGTCATGTTTGAATATGATTTAGTACCCAATTAAGAAAAAACCTGAAGAGATCACTTTACTTATTGAAAGTTGTAACTTCTCTTAGTGATAAGCTTAGATCATAAGGAGGTCTCATAATATCAGAGCATGTTGTTAGTGACACTGTAAGATGTGATAAATATCATAATGTAATAATTTCCAACACTTTCTAACATGTTTCAAAGCAGTTATAAGTCATTTAATAATTAGTGAATTTATGCTCGACTTTCAACCTATTTAGTACTGTAAAAATAATTGTTTGTAAATGATATACCATAATAAGAGCCTACTCATTTACTCATTGAAACCAAAGTGTCAAGTTTTGTTTTAATGTGACAAAAGCAATAAGGGAGGTTTTGAATTAGAGCAGTTAACAAAAAAGTAACATGCAAATGCACGAGTTGGGATTGAAAGATTTGCCCGCTACGGTGGAGCATGCTGTTTCTCATAAAAACATAAAGGAAACTTCACAATTTATTTTTATTTTTTAAATCATGTGTTTTTTATACCAAAGATTAGTACTAGTACCAAAAAGTATTAGTACCAAAAATTACTATTCCTTGCAATGTGTATATCATTTGTGGCCAACCTTCACTTCTGTTTGAGTCCAATAATGCTAGGAGTAAAAGCTATATTTAAAACGGATGTATCCTACTTGCAATCAGAGTCCTCTAGATCCATAACCATGCATTAAATATGGTATTCTGCTATTTCAATAACGCCGTCCAAGTATTGCAAAAACGTAATGAAAAATCCATGGACCCGGAAATAAAAAGTGATTGCGTTTTGTGGACGCAGTGCAAGCCATACTCATACAATCAACTTTGGATGAATGATTTGATAAAGATCTTACCTTCAGTCTCTTTATTTCGTCAGAATCCAATAAATAATTGAAGAAAATTCTATTTCTAAAAGAAATAAAATTTTCTTTCGAAATTTCCTTCCCGGAAGTTGATTTCTGATCGAAATAGTACGAGGCATGTGATAGGACAAAAATTTATACAATACTCGATTTCCGAGCAGTAATCAGTATGAGTCCTACGATTGGCCGGTAGCTTAAGACCTGATTCAAACCATTTTCAATTGGTCAAGTGTGATCACGTGATCATTATTTGAGACTGCATATGCGCAAGAAACTGAACTAAAAAGTTGAACCTCGCGCAGATTGCCCCTAAACTAAACATGCTAAAGCAAAATCAATAGCAAATTGTTTCGAAATTCGCAAGGAAAAGGTGTTTTAAATGGGAGAATATAAGTTATGATGGTATCTGTATCATTCAATGACATACTAGACTTGCAAGAACGCTGATTCAGACCGATAAATAGCAAAAGCAGTGGTACAAAATTTCATCAATTTATTTCATCCAGTGTAAAAACGTGACTTTTGAATTCCCGGGAACATTTTTTCAAGGGACGCAGTTTTTTGAAGGGAGACGCATTTTTTGAAAATCATTACGTCCAAGGGACGCAATTTTGGACAAGCCTACTGAAAACACTGGGTATTAGTTCAAAGTAATTTCTATTTGCTTCAATGCATTTTTTTCTACTACCCAGACCTCAAAAACATTATGAAACCCATTTTGTCCAATACTATGTGGTTTCAATCTGGCTGCCCTTTTCAAAATTGAGTAAAATTGTTGTCTCTGTCAACGACACTGTCACCAAATTGCTCTGGCAACCATTATTTCATTGTTAGGAGGTCATGAGCTTTGAAACTTTTCAAATAAACTAACAGTTACATTTTTAAAACATGCTGATCTAGGGCATCCAAGCAATGGTTAAAGGTATTCAGCTTTTTGCTTTAGCTTTTTTGTAAGGAAAGATCAAGGGCATTTAACTAATGGTCAAGGGCATTGAAGCAATGGTCAAAGGTATTCAGCTGTTTGCACTTATTGTTTTGTTTGGAAAGATCAAGGGCATTCAGCCAATGGTTCAGGGTATTCAACCAATCTTCAAGGAGATCCAACCAATTTTCATTGGTGTTCAACCTCTGATCAAGGACATTCAACCAATTCCATTGGTATTCAACCAATGATCAAGGGCATTCAACCAATTCCATTGGAATTCAACCTCTGATCAAGGGCATTCAACCAATTTCATTGGTATTCAACCAATGATCAAGGGCTCTCAACCAGTTTCATTGATATTCAACCAATGATCAAGGGCATTCAACATGAGAGTTGTCAATTATATTCATTCTAAGGAATAATCAACCGATTCAGGTACACAACATACGCCTGATCATGAAATTATTTTCTAGTCTACCAGTAAAAATTGAAGCAAGTAAAAGTTTTTCATTCGTCATTTAACAGACTTAGATTGGCAATTGCCATAAATCTCATAAATAAAGAACATGGAACTGACCTTACAGTAAGGCTATTTGATTAGGTCAAACTTGCAAGTACTCAAATTAGATGATAGGAATTGTATAAAATATATTGTTATGTATTTTTGAGAGTTACTATTTTATGCATTAGTTTGTATTTTATTGATAGGAGAGGTTTTCCTCGGTCCTTATTTTCCAAATGATGTTAGTGGCAATTGCTACCTTTAGGCTGAGATAGATAATGGCTGCTGTGGCCTTTCATAGAAGTTGGAATATCTGGGCTAAATGGCAGATATTTATGAAGGCATATAGTTCTGTAAGCGTAATTCTGATTGGTTATATGGATAGATCAAAGAATAATCTCTATAGAAAAAGAGTTAGGATGAAGCTCTCTTTTAAAGAAGCAAAATCTCACTACTGAAAAGGGTAGAAATCCTGAATATAATATGAAATGGACTAATGGGAGTGATGCCAATAATAAAGCGAGGTACGTCACTAATCCCGGACACTGTTAAGGAAACAATAGAATTTCCTAATTGGTTCATGTCATTTCCGTGACTTCTCTGAAGATATCTTTTTATATTAAAGTAATAAGCTGTTTCTCATAATAGCTAGCATTAGGGATTTCCTAAGGGAGGCATTTAAAGCAGTATGGTTCTCCTTAAGGAGACAGTGGGGCAAATGGGATAAATAGGAATCTCCTTTTGGAGACAATGATGTATATTTCAGCCATAATTTTGATGTCGCTATCTATTGAAATGTTTATTTGTGACCTATTTGCTTTCATTTCGACTTTTTTTAGTGTTCATTCAGTCTCCACCCCTAGAATAGGACGGGAGTGATTTATATAACCTAAGGGCTTATTGCAAAGCTTGCTATTTTCATTTGACCAATTTTGATGATATTTTACAATTTATGTTTTCAGGAATACACTCGGATACTTTGATCTTCGTGCTAAGTTCTCAGAGACGTACAACATGGAGGATATCCAGCAAACACCTCAACTCTACAGTCAAACACATATTTATTGTAAGTAGCCTTTCTAGTTCTACCAATTTTCTGTTATTTTCCTCAACAGCTACATATATTTCTATATATATTTCCTTCTCAAGGCCTAATCTTTCTGAAGAAATGGGAATAGGGGTGGTTTAGGGGTGTTTTTCTTGTGTACATTGGCGCATGAAGGAAGAGGGTATTGCCAGATTTTTTTATTTGAAACCGAGCCTAGAATTGAAAGCTCTATAGCTAATTAAAGTCAAAGTGTAATAATGACAGAAATGTCAGTCAGTATTTAGTCTCCTAAATCAAGCATAGAAGATCTCATTTCTCATATTATATTTAATTCTGCACCATGTACAGTTTACCAGGAACCCATACAGTATGTAAATACTTTGAAGAATAAATGCAAAATGTTTTAAGTCAAAGTCAAGCTAATTTTTATTTATTTTAAAAACACATTTTTTCTTGTTATTTTTTTTATTATTGGGAATGAACCAGAGAGGGTCTAAATTTTATTTTCTGGGGGCATGCCCCCGATCCCCCTAGATTGCGCAGCATGCTTCACGTGCAGCGCTTCACACAGGACCCATCAATACCCAAAAGTCGCCCCCTCCCTTGGCAAATCCTTCTGATGCCCCTGTTGTATCTAGCACTTTGTTAAGAGTTTTGACAGTTAGTGCTTTATATGATTTGAACACCATTTCCTTGTTCCTTGTTGTAAAAATCATTAATATAATGATTTGTGAAATCCATCTTATCATTTATAAAAAGTATAATTTCAAAAATATATTGGTTTCACAGAGTTGAATTGTTAAGAACTTTCTCTGAGCATAAGAGTCCACTTGGTAACACTCTTTTAAAGCAGCAAAATCAAACCATTAGAAAGGGTGGAAAGAACACCTGTCTCTAAATTAAAAAAATATATATTAGGACATACATTTTTTCTGAAAAAAGCTAAATAACAAACACCAATACAAATAGATTACATTGTATACAGTATACTTCAAACTTCACATGCCTTATTTTCACACTGATTTAACAACTTCTCTCTGTCACTTGCTAATCACTCTACGCCATGACTATAACAAATAAGTGCTGTATTGTTGATGTTATTTTGTCTTGTCCTATATACTGGGTGTATGTGTTAGTGGGCAGGTGTCCTACATACTGGGTGTGCATGTATGTGTTAGTGGGCAGGTGTCCTATATACTGGGTGTATGTGTTAGTGGGCAGGTGTCCTATATACTGGGTGTGCATGTATGTGTTAGTGGGCAGGTGTCCTATATACTGGGTGTGCATGTATGTGTTAGTGGGCAGGTGTCCTATATACTGGGTGTGCATGTATGTGTTAGTGGGCAGGTGTCCTATATACTGGGTGTGCATGTATGTGTTAGTGGGCAGGTGTCCTATATACTGGGTGTGCATGTATGTGTTAGTGGGCAGGTGTCCTATATGCTGGGTGTGCATGTATGTGTTAGTGGGCAGGTGTCCTATATACTGGGTGTATGTGTTAGTGGGCAGGTGTCCTATATACTGGGTGTGCATGTATGTGTTAGTGGGCAGGTGTCCTATATACTGGGTGTGCATGTATGTGTTAGTGGGCAGGTGTCCTATATGCTGGGTGTGCATGTATGTGTTAGTGGGCAGGTGTCCTATATACTGGGTGTATGTGTTAGTGGGCAGGTGTCCTATATACTGGGTGTATGTGTTAGTGGGCAGGTGTCCTATATACTGGGTGTGCATGTATGTGTTAGTGGGCAGGTGTCCTATATACTGGGTGTATGTGTTAGTGGGCAGGTGTCCTATATACTGGGTGTGCATGTATGTGTTAGTGGGCAGGTGTCCTATATACTGGGTGTATGTGTTAGTGGGCAGGTGTCCTATATACTGGGTATATGTGTTAGTGGGCAGGTGTCCTATATACTGGGTGTGCATGTATGTGTTAGTGGGCAGGTGTCCTATATACTGGGTGTGCATGTATGTGTTAGTGGGCAGGTGTCCTATATACTGGGTGTGCATGTATGTGTTAGTGGGCAGGTGTCCTATATACTGGGTGTGCATGTATGTGTTAGTGGGCAGGTGTCCTATATACTGGGTGTATGTGTTAGTGGGCAGGTGTCCTATATACTGGGTATATGTGTTAGTGGGCAGGTATCCTATATACTGGGTGTGCATGTATGTGTTAGTGGGCAGGTGTCCTATATACTGGGTGTGCATGTATGTGTTAGTGGGCAGGTGTCCTTTATACTGGGTGTGCATGTATGTGTTAGTGGGCAGGTGCCACATGAATCTTGTCATCAAAATAATTATCTGTTCAATTTGAAATTTTTACAGATGTAAGAGGCAACTAGTTCTGATTTTAAGGATGCTTTGAATATTACATGGCTGCCATTTTACTCTTTATAGTACAATATCTCTCACTTTGTGTCTTCAAGCTCAAGAGACATGAAAAATTCAAGAAGCGACCAAATTGATATATCAATATACAACGTACATATAGTCATTTTTGTTCCATGCTAATATTTTTAGTGCTAAACTGCACTTAGGTTGAGTAAGGGCTCTGACCTTCTCATTTTTCGTATTATCTGTACTTCATATTTCTTCTCTTGTCATCTTTAGTGTTTGTCTGTTATTTTTCAAAATGTTTGATTTTCAAAATAATTATAAGTAGTGACTTCATGTTAGTTAAATTTACTTTACTCCTTGCCAATTCTGCTCCTTTCATCTTTATTTAAAATAAACTTGAACATAATGTCATTTTATTCCTGGGGATGTAATTTGTTAGGGATGAAACTTGGCCATTTTAGTTTTACTCAATATGACAAGAATTTGTTAGGGCAATCTTGTAATTTTTCACTTGATGCACCAACTGTCATAATAATACAAGCAGAGCATCTTTAAGTTGTCACGTCGTGCAGCAGACCACACGGGTACTATAGGAATAAAAAGGATCTGGCGCAACTGAAAAGAGAAAAGCAACCATTTTTCATGAATTCTCAATGATTATGAGATTGTCTCTAAAGTACTGAATGGTTATTGTACTTATAATATTATATTGTGACATATTTCAGATTTGCTACTTTGTGTAGTCAACATTTTCTTGTTATGTTTCTGTTTGATATGCCAAGGTCAGACTCGAAAAGTCTCCATTTAGTTTTGAGATAGTGATCATTACCAAGTCACCATGAAATCATTCTCCCAAAGGAGACTTAGGGAGACTTATCTTTTGAAGCAGAGTTCTCTCAGTCACTGGCTATATCTGTACTGCATGGAACAATATTGTTCTAATAGTTCTTTCTCTTGTTTTTGCGAACCTCCTAATGAGATAAGATAGGCCTGCTTATTAAAGGATGTCCAGTGAGTGATTGTGATCACCCATTAAACAAATATCACATTGTCTCATTTTAGAATGTAAAATAAAATAATAAACAGTGGAATTACAGTGAAATAGAATAAATAGGCATGAACCATAGACTTTAAACTATATTGAAACATAAGTAAATCATGTGCATCATTGAGATTTAAAAGAGGAATGCTGTGAAATGAACCTGACTGGTGAGAAATTAATCACAGGGGAGGTTAGTTTAGTATTCAGAGTTTGTGATCAAGCCACTGATTGATTGTTCCATCTTAACAGCACCTTCAAAATAATTGTTTCTGGTCTACGGAAATCAACCTTTTCTCCTCGGAAAAATTGAAATAATCTATGAATTTTGAATATTTTTGGAAATGAGGATTTAAGTTTCATTAATAGATGATGCGATTTTTGTGTCCTCTTATTTGAGATTTCATAATGTTATTTTTATGATTGTATTTTTGAAGGGATAGACACACCTGCCCAAAGATGTTATGAAACATTTCTGACCAGTTTTGGCAATTTGAATGATATATTAGTCTCCCTATATTTTTTCACAATTCCAAGTAAGTGTAAAATTTTCATTTGCAAATTCAGACCTTTGGTCCAAATAGACAATTTTTACTCATTTTTTCAATTAAGTATAACTTGAGTTTTCAATGGGTGCAAGTTTATATTCAAAATCTCAATTAGGCAAAGTAATCACTGAATATTGTTTTAACAAAGGTTTTCATAAATTATTTGTGAGGTACGGAAGCATAGATATTATTATGTAAAATTACCAGGGGGTTTGTTATTTAATTAAGAGCTTAGATATATTGGTTTATGAGAGTTTTGTATACCGGTATGTGGTCAATGACATGCCAGTAAAAGCAAAACAGACCTCTCTTGTATTAGAAAACCTTGTCTTGTACTGTTTATAGAAGAATAATAGTGTGTACGTTGACTTCATGTTTTTTCCAATAATAACATACTCGTATATTTGTATATTTTCATAAAATATGGTGCCCCTTTTTAATGCTGTTTTAGTCAGAGGATTGTATTTACATCTATCCTCAGGGTCATGTTATTATATAGTATTTAAAAGCAAGGTCTGCATTTATAATTGTCACCTTTATGTAAGCTTAAGGTAGGCATATTGGAATGAGTAATGTGGCTTTAGGAAGCAGCATAAGAAACCATTGTACTGTATACATGTATGATTGACTTTATTGACTTTAGGGAGCGTTTAATTACATAGATCGCTCGGTACTGTTATATAAACTATGTAAATCTGGAATTCATCCACAGACTAAAATGTACTAGATTATAGAGAGCATGTACTCTAAATCTAAGTCATGTCTCAAGTTAGAAAATGGAGTCACGGAAACTTTTGACACTGAAATAGGAGTTTTACAAATTGAACGTGTAAATAAATATAAATATCTCGGTGTTATTCTTACTGATAACAATAAATTTGATTTTAACACTGCTTATCCTAAAGAACAATCACGAAAGGCAAAATTCAAAATCAAACAACAGTATAAGAAATTCAATGATGTACCACCGGATGTTGCTCTTAACCTTTTTGATTCATTAGTCAGTCCAATAAATTACATCATTAATAGATTTAAGCATTCCCTACATATTGCTCAATATATGTCAGCATCAAATTTTTACCGTTTTTGAGATATTT